AAAATTTAATTTTTTTTCCTCAGGGAGTTCCTAATGTCCAGAAACCGTATACAATTTGGGTTCGCAATTTCCAGCTTGCCAGTTTTGCATCAACGAGTGCGATATGTAGGGAGAAGATCTGCATCGCTCCGCTGTAAAATGTGTCATCTTTTTCCTGTTCCGATCAGTTACGATGTTAATTAAAGATTATGATGCCTTAAAACGGAATGGGTTCTTCTTTGGCTATTCAACGCTCACGTGGAGTAAGTCGGAAAAGGGAACATTAGTTCATCGATTTCTCATTAATGGAGTTTTACCGTCATATGGAAAACACATTTTACATAAAATGAAAACCGCATGTGAGCAGTGAATAGCGCGTAGCATATGCTATGTGTTTTACGTGATACGGAGTAGTTTGTCCGGTTTACCGTCTCAGGAGATGGTGTGAAGAATTATGAGAAACATATTTCACATTTCGTATCGCGAGAAACGCATGTGAGCAGTGAATAACGTGTAGCATTCGTGATGTGTTTTACGTGATAAGGAGTAATTTGTCCGGTGAAATTCGGCAAGTATTTTCCATTCACTTCATATCACCGCGAATATCGCGTTTTTCACATGGAGTATTACGCCACTTAACGTAAAACGAGTGAAACTCCATTATTTTTATGATTAGCTTCAACCAGTGTTGGAATTATCGTATGCTTTTTCCGTGCATACATCTTCATGTGCATACGGATAGTTCATAAGCCTCCCTTTTGATGAGCATACGGCGCGAATTATTCCGATAGTGTGTATTTTTTACTCAGCGACGATTTTTCTGGAAGCTGGTGGTGGTCTTATCGTCGCCGTTGTGATAAAGTACGCGGATACTATTCTCAAGAACTTCGCCACTGCGGCTGCTATCATTTCAAGTGAGATTTTTCTTTTTTCTGTCCTTTTTTGAACTGTGTAAGGGGCCTAATTTTTTATTTACTGTCTTTTATCTATGAGTTGGTTTGAATATTCGTCATCAGAGTTTTACCCGTGATATGAAAAACACTAATGAAAAATATATTTCACGCGAATATCGCTTTTCTTCCACAGAGTGTTCACGTTAAACGGGTGAAACTGTATTGGGGTTTCGAGCGTCATATGGGAAAATACTTGTGAAAAAAATATATTTCACAATTAATCTCAGGAAAAGAAACGCATGTGAGCAGTGAATAGCGCGTTGCATATGCTATGTGTTTTACGTGTTACGGAGTAGTTTGTCCGGTTTACCGTCTCAGGAGATGGTGTGCAGAATTGTGAGAAACATATTTCACATTTCGTATCGCGAGAAACGCCTGTGAGCAGTGAATAACGTGTAGCATATGCTATGTGTTTTACGTGATATGGAGTAGTTTGTCCGGTGAAATTCGCGAAATGTTTTCTATTCACTTCATATCGCGTTTTTCACATGGAGTATTACACCACTTCACGTAAAGCGGGTGGAACTCCATTATTACTTCTACTATGTGATATGATAATTTCACAGGTACCACCATCAGCGCCCTTTTTCTCGGCTTTGAAGTGCGACCAAGTTTTGTCATTGGTGCGGTATTGGTAATTACTGCAATATATATGTATTCAGCGAAACCCACCGAGGTGAGATAATACTTCCATATGGTGGAGTTTCAAGTGTGTTGAGAGAAGTATGGTAGGAAAAGAAGATTTTTTTCTCAAGTTCTAATTTTTATATGTTAGCAAAGATGTTGTTAGAAGTTGCAAGGTGTTCGCCATTGAAAATATGATACCACATTTTCTACGCCTGATTTCAGCATTGGAGTATATGTTCGCTTTCCTCAGCTGAGCTCAGGAATTTCTCCATCTACCTATGAATTCGGGAAAAATTAATTTTTTATTTTTATTATTTTATTCATGTATGTTTATCTTATCGGCGTATATGCCATATTGCTTGTGCAAATTGTGGATCTATAATACTGTTGTTTCACCACCCGTTTTACGTGAAGTGGCGTTAAACTCGGTGAAAAACGCGATATTCGCGGTGATATGCATTAGTCGTGAAATATGTTTTCACTAGTG